CTTCCCCCCAGGATGGCAGGACTGAGCTGTGGGATTAAGTGGCCAGAACCAAGGAGGCAGGAGCAGATGCAGGCAGCTGAGGGAACCCCCCCAGGCCTGGCTGGCTCCCCAGGGCACACAGCATGTCTGAGTGTTGTCCCCCAGCCCTCACCTGAGGCAGCCACCATGGGCCCCACTGCCCTGGCCAGGGCGCCCAGGCTCCGTAGTGTGCCCATGATTGTGCCCTTCTGCCCAGGCGAGCCTGTGGGGGAGAAGAAGGGGCCATCAGGTGCCCGCTGTACCCCCACCCCACCTCCCCCCCGGCCTTGGTCAGGAAGAGCCTCACCATAGCCAGCAACCACGGAGGACAGGCAGGGCACCACGACAGCAGCAGCTGAGGGGGACATCAGAGGAGAGACAGGCTCATGACCCAGAAGGACCTGCGGCCCCCAGCCCCCCACTTCGCCCTCTGGCCCTGGCAGGCCTGCTCACCAAAGGAGTAGAGCAGCAGTCCCAGGCCCAGCACAGGTAGTGTGTGCCCCCAGCCTATGAGGAGGAAGGCGGGGACCAGCAGCAGGATGGCCTGCAGGAGGACACAGCAGACCTCAGGACCCACTCCTGCTGCTCCCAGCAGAGCTCAGGAGACCACCTGCCCCCCACTTCCAGGGGGGCCCCCATACCCGTTTCACAGCTGCAATTTCCCTGCCGGGGCTAATCCGCCGGGCGTAGGCGCCCTGGATGGTGGCCATGGTGAGGCCGATGAAGAAAAACATTCTTCCCTGCTGCAGGCTGGGAGGGTGGGGACCTTAGCGCCCCAGGCCTGCTGGCCAGCTGCCCGCCCTGCTCTGCCAAGCAAGCCAGGGAACCAGGCTGACAACCACTGCCCGCCCCAGGTTCCTAGGCTGGGCCCCAGGGGATGGGGAGATGGCAGGGTGGCCCCAGGTGGGGTCCCTGGAAGGCCCGCACTCCCACCTGCTGAACTGGAAGCGCTGGTGTGCAAGGAAGCTCAGCGTGTACTCCAGGCCCGAGAACAGGAAGAGGTACAGGAAGTAGACCAGGCCCAGGCGGCGCAGGTGGCTGAGCCCTGGGGGGCAGTGGGGCGAGGGCATGAGGGGTCCACAGTCCAACAGCAGCTGGGGGAGCCCCACCCTCATGAGGGGCCACTCCTTACTGTCTCCAGCCGGTGGGTCCTGGCCACGGGCCACAGCAGAGAAGCGGAGCAGGGCCAGGGGGCTGAGCAGGTCAGCAGTAGCTCGGAACCCCAGGGTGATGGAGGGCGCCTGGCGGGGGGCAGAACTGGAGAGGCCTGCTGGGGGTCTGGGAGCATCCCTAGGCCGAGCCCTGGGGAGGGGCATGACCCAAACCTGCTCGGGCCCAGCAGCCTGGCCTCCACCCTACCTGCCAGGCCTTAGAGGCAGGAGGCATTGTGTCCCCAAGAGCCCGGACACCAGGAGAGGACAACCCAGCCTCCCCTGGCACCCATGCCTGGCATCCATAACAGGCTCCCTGCAGCCCCATGGAACCGAGCCCCCAGCCCTGGGACCTGTTGGTAGTTTCTGGGACCCCACTGTACCCGCTTCTCTGGGGGCAGCGTCTCTGGCAGGAAGCAGAAGAGAAACAGCAGGTCAGAGACGGCGAAGAGCAGGGCGAGCCAGGGTGCCGTCTGCGCAGCTAGGGAGGCGCCCAGCATGGGGCCCAGCGTGAAGCCCAGCGAGAAGGCCAACCCGATGACTGCCTGGGGAGAAGGCCAGCTGAGCCAGGAGGGGGACCCAGGGCCTGGAGCCCGGCCCCTTGTCCCCCAGCTTGTGCACTCACCATGCCTCTGCTGTGGGCCGGCGCAGAGCCCAGGTCGGCAACGATGGCCGTGGAGAGACTGACGTTCCCCTTGCTGATGCCGCCAATCACCCTGGAGGCCAGGAAGGCTGCGAAGCTCCCTGACGCGGCCCACACGGCATACGAGGTGGCCAGACCTGCCTGCCTCAGGGCAGGGGCCAAGGGGCAGGCGAGGTCATTTGAAGCCAGGAGGGACCCAGAGTGGGGCCAGCAAACCCAACAGCACCCCTGGGTCCCCGCCCTGTTCTACAGCACCCAAGGGCCACTTGTGTCCTCAATGTCCTGTGGGTGGCAAAAACAGCTCCAGGACAGCCTGGCTTAAGACACAGGAGCTGCTGGCCCCTCAAGCACCACCCCAGGGGGCACCCGTACCAAGGACAGCAGCATCACTGGGCGCCTCCCCAGGCAGTCGGAGACGGCCCCGGTGAGCGGAGAGGAGAGGAACTGCAGGACTGAGAAGACCGAGCCAATCAGACCTGAAGGAGACAGAAGTCATGGTCACCACACCGCAGTCTCAGTCCCCAAGGGTTTGGCCACACTGACCCTGCACTCCCAGGCCATGGACCTCAAGCCAAGGCGGCCCTGACAGAGCGGACACTCAGGGAGGGAGCAGACTGCCCAGGAGTAAGAAGGTAGGACCAGGGAGAAGAGGGAAGGGTCCAGGACAGGACCAGGGGCTCCCAGCACGGGGCTCGGCCGTACCTCCGAACAGGACGTTGTTGTATCTCTTCTCCGCTGGCATCCCGATGGCTGCAGCAAACCAGTCCACCCCTCGCTGCCAGGAGCCATACAGAGGGTCCTGCGGACGGGACGGTGAGGAGCCGGAGGCCCTGAGGCGCTGGGCCGGGCGGGGGT